AAGGTTACAATCTGATCTATTCAACAGAATTTTGATTCAGAAAAGCTAGAAGTAAAAGTATAAACTCTAGTTTTACAAATATAGTAATAAAGAATATACTTTAGTGGTAACTTAATCTCCATATTAGAGAACTAAGATACTCAATGAATTTCAAAGTATCAGATTGATAAAGCAACACCTGGATTAATGTACTTTATTTAAAACCGTTATGAAGGAATGACTAGTCATATGAAGTGAACTTTTATCTTTCATTTAAGTAAAAATGTATGTTGTATTTTATGTTCTGTAAAAGTTGACACATTATTACACTACTTGTAGAGCATAAATAGCAACTTGGGAACAACTTTGTGAATGGTTACTAGTTTTCTAAATCATTTAGTTTATACATTCTATTAAATTTTTAAGCTTATTATCAATATTTAGTATGAACCTTTTCCCGTTTTCAAATTGAGATCCATTGCTTTTCAGCCATAGCAGAGAGATAGGTTTCCAGAATAAAACAAACAGTTTAAAATACCATGCCCACAAAGAGATAAATAGATGTCCCGTGGGGATAGGGCTAAATTTGGAGAACTCACATTCTCCCTTCTTTTCAAGACACACAAAGTGTAAAACAAGATAATTTGTCCTGTTCATTGCCATCAAGATTTGCACGTCAAAATAATAGCCCCATTCTGTCAGCTCTGTGTTGAGTACTCCAGAATACTGTGGTAAATCACAGGTGGGTTGTTCAGATGTTCAGAGAGCCCTCAGGAATGGGCAGATAATCAACTGACAGGTCATTGCTGAATCAAGGAATTTACCCTTTTCTTTGGCATATCATAGCTCATGAAGGCTAACATTTTGGTAACTGTTTCAGGAAAAGAAATATTGTACTATGTTTCCTTTCTTCCCTTCAGTCTCTGTGATACAAAGCAAACAAACTTGTTTACAGAACATCCAGCATTTGATTGAGTAAGTGACAGGTAGGAAATTAAGCTGTTAATACAGGAGGATGATTAAGTGAGGAAATCCGTCTTTTGTCAACCACTCATATTTTTATTAGTTTTAAAATAGAATCTGCCTTCAGTTTCAGTGGGAGTGTTAGATGTAAATGGTTTAATGGATTTTGTACTTGAAATCTGGCTTTCCTCTTTTACTTACAATCTAACATCACAATAGAAAATAATTAAAATAGTCTTGTAAATGATTGATATAGGATGATGGTTTAAGCTTATTTATTGAGTCAGAGCTCCACACCTGTTCTGTGTCATAACAACTTTCTCAGAGGATGAGTGTCGTTTTGTTTTGGTTTTTTTAAGCCATCCTTTCTTGTGATGCCAGAGACATTATAAATCTCTAAATTGAAAAATGCTGAATTAAATTTAGTTCTTATTTAAATCTATTTAAAATTAACCCTTTGGATACTTTCTGATTTTTAAAGTGGATTGCTGATTATCACATTGCTCTGTATATATTTCTTTTTTTAATAAATCTTGATGTTTATTGCAATATAAAGAATAATCCTAACATTACATACAACATTCTTTCCCTAAATGAAGTTTACTGAAAAGAACTGTAAATTTTTACGTTTAAGATCATCAAAGTAGACACATATAGGATGACCAAGATTTTATTTGTTTGGTGGTAAATGGAAATTTGAGCTCACATGTAATATAAGTCAGCATTGTCATAAACCTACTAAAAAATGCTTATGTCATTTTAGACTTCATTAATTATAGTATCCAGATCACATGAACTAATACTTTTGTGGTACTCTGTCCTGGTCAGATCACATCTAGAACATAATACACAGTTTTGGGATCTCATGGTTTGTGAATAATTTTAGACATAACAGGTATGGATCAGAACATGATTTTACCTTGGAAAATAGAAAAATACAAGGCAGTTATTGCCTTCAGATATTTAAAAGTTTATCCTATAGAAAGGACAGAATTAAAAGGTTCTGGCAAAATAAATAGAACAATTTCCCAATGAACTAGAATTGTTCACTTATTATTATCATCCTGTTATTGCAGGTGTTTTAAAAAGGGGTTGATTATGCTAACTGTCTGCTATGTTGATTGGAAGTTGGAAAAGATCATTTTTGATCTCTTCAATTTTGATTGAAGTTGATTAGGAAGTTGGAAAGGATAATTTCTGATCTCTTCAATTTTGAATTGAATTGGCAAGTATAAAACGATTTTATTATTCAGTCACTTAGCATATATGTGAATATTTACAAATTTGGGATTTGAATTTTGAGACTAATCATTGAAAATTACCTTTGGCCCTATGAACGTTCCATGTATTTTTGCCTTCTATATTTTTTCTTCTTTTTAAAGATGATTACAAATATGTATCAAAAAGAAAAAGAAAACAAACATCAAAATTTGGCCCAGGTCATATAAATCCAGTCTGAAGCTAGAGATAGGAATAAGAATGAACAATACAGGTCCTCTGTTTAACATGTGAATCCCACTTTTCTGATCATATGTGAAAGTTGAATATTAGGAACTTAATAGCACAGTCTAATAACTTGCTGCTTTCTTTGAAGCAAACATGGTCCCTCCTCGAAAGGGGGGAAATGTACTTGAAGATCATTCCTTGACAGTATTGCCCTTTGAACTCTAGGTTGACTATTTGAATAGATAGGCTTTCTGGCTCATCTCATCATCCAAAACTTCTTGATATTCTTCTCCTTTCTTTAATGTTGTAAATATTTGGGAGAGTGGATAGTGAATATAGGTTGTATGTTTGTGCAGAATTCAGCAAGAGAGGTTGGGTGTTTTGCATTAAGTATCTATATTACTATAAAGTTTAATTGCTTTTAGATACTAGTTAGCACTGAGTAGTACACAGAAAGTACCTGTTACACTGAGTTACTCATTTGTGGAATGTAAGAGTGAAAGAATATATGCATGCATCCTTAATAGTTACAAGGGCAGTCATCATGTTTTATCCATGGCCTAGTCTCAGGATGTTTTTTGGCACTCTCAAGTCCTGATTAACATTTGTCATGTAAATAAATATATTCAATTTAGATAGCAGCAGATAGACGTTAGCATTTAGACAAAGCAGATATATTGTCATTTTTTAAATTATATATGTAATTTATTTCATCATTAAATTATGAATTTTCTAGGGAATCTATACATATGTTGATTTCATATCAATCTAAAACAATGTATTGTATAGATATATTAACTTTGGTAGTCTGCCATAAACTTCACTCCATTCTTGTGGGCATTGATACAGGAGACTGGTAGTTCTTTTTTTTTTTTTTTTTGGCTGCATTGGGTCTCCGTTGCTGCGTGCAGGCTTTCTCTAGTTGTGGTGAGCGGGGGCTACTCTTCGTTGCAGTGAGCAGGCTTCTCATTGCGGTGGCTTCTCTTGTTGAGGAGCACGGGCTCTGGGTACGCAGGCTTCAGTAGTTGCGGCGCGCGGGTTCTAGAGTGCAGGCTCAGTAGTTGCGGTGCATGGGCTTAGTTGTTCCATGGCATGTGGGATCTTCCCAGACCAGGGATCAAACCCATGTTCCCTGCATTGGCAAGCAGATTCTTAACCACTGTGCCACCAGGGAAGTCCTGGAGAATGGTAGTTCTTTTAGATGCCCTCTCACTATTAATCTCTGAAAAACCAAGAGCCGTTACGAAAAGTACTTCTTAGATAATACAGGATAGAATAGCTTTTTCTTTGTTTTCCCCTTAAAATAATCTATAGTTATAAATGGGTTTTAAATAATTTGAAGCTGGATTTGAATTCTATTTTGGCCTTTACTGTGTGATATGAGGCACTGTTTGCTTATCTGTAAAATGAGGATGCTACCTCTTTTTCAGAAATGTTGGTGAATTGTATGGGGTAACTCATATGAACCATTTAGCTTTGAGCCTGTTACAGAGTGAGCCCTTGAGAAACAATAGCTATCATTACAATTTCGCCAGGAAAAAAAAAAAAAGTTTAAAATGTCATGGATAAATACCTGACTTTAGCACTTAAAATTTTAAGTTTAAAATTTTAAGTTGTTACATCTTCGATTGTTTTATTTTTTCTTTTCAATTCTAATGTTGAAATTTTTTCTCCCATTATAGAGACTGTATCGGCAATTTGTCGTTGGTCATCACTATAAATGAATTGCTTGTTAACTCTAAGTATTCCTTTGGGGAACCTGGTGATATCTCCTTTTCCTCTCACAGTGTGATAGTTAATGCATGTGATATCTATGCCCCTTCCTCTATATTTTTCTGCACAAAGGTTTCTGAGATCTCAAGGAATCTGGAATGGTAAGGTCCTCATCCATTGTCAGGAATCCAGCTTCTTGGGAGCTTTTCCAGCCTTTTGGCTAATACCTAAATAGAATCTTCTGATTTCCTCAACTTGGTGACTAACATTTTTTGTATTTTTAAACTGGCCTGGGTTGATATGAGTCTGTTTGGAGAAGGGTAGTCTGGAAAGTGTTAAGCCAGAAACAGGAAGATTTAAAGATTGAATCACCCTGTCATTCATTGTATACATAATACCTTATTTTCTCCAAGGTTCTTGTTTAGCCTGTATGATTTGCCTTATATACATGTGCACACACACACATTTTCCAATATAGCCTATAACATATACTGAATAAACTACACCATCTGTATCTTTCTGTCTATTCTAATCTTGGTCAGCATCTGCATAGCACTTCTAATAGAATTGCATAGAACTTATGAGCTCAAAATAAATACAAATTTAAGCTTTTCATCTTTATTCTAGGAACATTCCCCATTTCCAAATTATTTATATTATCATAATTCTCCTGTGAAATCATAAAGCAAAAATTGTACCATCCCTTCAAATCAGAACTTTATTCAGTTTATGACTCTGCTTGGAATAAGAACAAAAGTTTAAAGAAGGTATGATTTAAGTATTACTAGGGGAAAGTAAGGAGAAAAGTGTTATGTTAATAAATTTGCATTGTATGCACACTGTCAGCCTCCCAATCTGTAGAAGCATGAAGAATAGAATTTATGTTTTGCATTTTTCAGAAAGTGAGAGACCAGTAGGATTTTAACAGTTTCATAAATGGAGCAGAAAAGAAGAAAACTGTTGAACCTAAAGCCTGGCTTCATCCAGAAGTAAATATAAATTTTTCTTTTTCTGTCTTTAACCTGAAAGTATGCTCAGAAAGTCAGGCCTCACCAGAAACATTACTGATGCTTTGGGGCAGTAATTTTTTCAGCTTATGTCCTTTAGTTCAGTCTAATACTGGGAAATATTCCCATCAATATTGAATGAATGAACTTATGTGAAAGTTTATGCCTGGGGAAAAAGCAAGCTAGAGGCTTTTGATACCTAGTACTAGCTGGTTTGATATAGTAAATGTTACAGTTCAGAGAACAGAGAGATTACGGAAAGTCAGAATAGTTAGGAAAAGATAAACTCACATTACTTATTTGTTAAAAAATTCATTTTCTATGTGGCAGGCTAAGTAGTTTGCATATACTGTCTCATTTCAATCTGCATAATAATGCAGTTAAGGTAGATACTTTTCATACTGTTTTGTAGGTAAAGAAACAGTCTCACAGAGGTTAAGAAACTTGGTCCGTGATCTAACAGCTAATAAATTACTCTATAATGAATGTTACTTTTGTTCATTTGGATATTCTTCCCAGAAATCAGTGACTTTTCATGGCCTTTAAAGAATCTGAACTAGTTAACAGGGTTGCTACAGACCTTGGGAGTTTCTGGGAATAGATTTAAAGGCACTGAGAAAATCTGATGATGGCTATTGAGTGGGAAGTTAAGTAATCCATCTAATTCTCTGTACTAACAATAAAGTCAGTTGCAATATATTCTTTTATCATTGACCTGAAAAATTTCTGAGTGTGTAATCCTACGGTGAGTGATAATGTGTCATCCAAGCTTGCTTTACTTTTGGCAGGTACCAGTTGAATCTAAGAAGTACCTGCTTCTTGTATACAAGGTTTTAATTTGTTTAACAGACAAAAATATGTATTTGCAGCTTGAGGGATCTTTCATGAATGGGGGTGTTCGGTAATACCTCTCTTTCAAGCATGCCATGGTATCTTGTTAACAGTGACATTTATGAGTTGAAGTAGAAATCAAAATCATTTCAAAATAGACACTGTTCACTACAACATTATTGGCATCTGTTTTTAGCATAGCAATAATTATTATTAGGGAGCTCTTTTTTGTATGGCAATTTAACATTTTTTTATTGATTGATTGGTTGTATCTAAGCTGCTACAGCTTGATATGTGATGGTTAAGAACATGGACTCAGGCCATGGGTTTGAATCCCAGTTACATCTCCTACCATATGTATGACCTTTGGCAAATTAGTGAATCTGTGTGACTGTTTTTTCACCTGTAAAATGGAAATTACAGGAGTACCTATTACAGAGGGTTGTTGTGAGGATTAAATGAATAATAAATTTGAAATAACTTAAAACAATGCTTAATAAATATTGTTTGTTAGCCTACTTTTTAAAAGTTTGCCTCAGTTTATACCCATGAAAAATTCTTTATGGATATTTTGTTCACTGTGTATTAAAATACATTATTAAATGTGGTTGATTTATATGTAATAGATCATCTATATATATTCATTATAAGGTATCATTTATATATTAATCTGGTAGGCTAGTACAAATGTATTCTTTTTGAAAATTATTTGTGCTTTTGGAAATCTGAGATCCTTCCCAATATTTATGTATAGTGAATTTCCAAAAATAAAATGAACATTAGATTTGTGAGATACATGGGAAGGTTCTATTCCCAGACAGTTAATAATTATTATTAAATTCCTAATTATACTTTTCCCAATAGTAATAATTATTATTAAATTCCAATTATACTTTGCCTTTAATAATTATTATTAAATTCCTAATTATACTTTGCCTTATAATTATTATTAAATTCCTAATTATACTTTGCCTAATTATATTATTAAATTCCTAATTATACTTAAATTCCTAATTATACTTTGCCTCTACTTTTTAATATATTAAAAATATTCCTAAAAACATTTTCAACATTTTGATTGTTTTCTGGGGGCTTTGTTTGTTTTTTTACCTACTAAAAATATTTGTTTAGATCCTTAGTGTGTATAATGTTAAGTGCTGGGAATACAAGAATGAATAAATAGATGAAATCTCTTCTCATGAGGCATATGGTTTGGTGGTGGTTACAGACAAGTAAACAGGGAACTACAATAAAGTGCTAAATTCTGTGATGGCAGAAGTGCAGAGAACTCCAAGGGGAATGAGGTAGGACAAAGAGAACACTAAAACTAGATTTAGGAAAAAAGAAAAGTTTCTTAGAATGAACCTGGTAAGGAGGCTAGAAGTAATGGAGTGGAAGAGATGAGATGTTTCAGGAAGAGCATTATGTGGAAAGGCCTAAAATTGAGAGAGCACATGATACATTTGTAGTTCAGTATGGCTTGGCCATGGAGGGGAAGATGAGAGTGGCAGAAGTGATCACGCTGAAGAGACAATTTATGGTTTAACCGTAATAGTCTTTGAATGCCATGGCAAAGAATTTTTCTCTTATCCTGGGAGCAAGAGTAACCATTAAGGCTGCTAAGCAGCAGGTGGCATGATCAGATAGGTGTTTCAGAATTCTCTGATTATAATAAGAGGATGAGGGTCTGTTGGTAGAAGTGACTTTTCAGCGATCTAGGAGGAGAGTCAGTGGTCTGAATTAGGGAATTATGAAGATGGGGTGAAAGGAAGTAGTTGGTTTCAAGAGATCCTTAGGAGTGGAATGCACAGGACATCATGGTTGGTTAGACGATGGCCTTGATTTTACTCTGACAGGATCAGCGTTCTGAGCATTCAGTCTGTACAGCTGAGTGGGGCCCTGTGCCCAGAAGGGACTCACTATTGGTTTAATGCTGTTGTTGCTGTCTTTAAATTCTTAATGGTTTTTGAACAAGGAACCCCAGATTTTCCTTTTAAACTCAGCCTTGTAAATTATGTAGCCAGTCCTGGTCTTGAGAACTGGTTGGATGGTGGTATGTTTCACAGGGAGAGGGAAAACAGGAATACATTTTGGGGGAAAGATAAAGAGCTCTGTATAGGATATATTGAGTTTAAGGTATTTAAAATATTTAATAGCCTTTGGATCCTTAGTTCAGCTGGCCAATGATACAGATTTAAGACTAAGCATTTTAGTGATAATTGAAGCCATTGGAATGGATAGTATCTCCTAGCGTAAGTATATAGTAGCTGAAGAAAAGGTTGAAAGGAAGGAACCCAGGTGCACTCCAATATTCAAGAGTGGGCAGAAGAAAAGGAGTCTGTAATGAGTGCAGAAGAAATTATATCTGTGTAGGAGTTTGAATATTCAGAAATAAATTATGTAAAGTTAGAGTTTGTAAGTTTATTGATGTCAGGAAGTTAAGAGAGTTCCTATCTAATATATTTTATTTCCTCTGTGACATAGGAGGTTAGGTCAGCTGCTGAGAAAAAAGGAAAGTGGTCAGGTTAGGGATTTGAGGAGAATGGAGACGCTTGAAATAACTTCCAAGAAAAAGAACTTTATGAGGAAATTGGAATGCCAGGCAAGGTTAAGGATCTATATGAGAATGGAGATAATTTTGTTGAGATTTTTCATTTTCAGTGCTTAGCCGTCAGTTGTAGTTGTGTGAAATGGAGATAGTCATATTGATTGGGACTCAGTTTTGCCACATGGAGGAAAGAGTGTTGAATGGATGATTAGGCAGCGATTCTTAAACTTTAATATGCATTTGAGTCACTTGTATGTCTGGGATGGAGTCTGAGATTTAGCAATTCTAATGTTTCTGGAAAAGACTGATAGTCTAAGTATTGTATATTTTAAGAAGATCTCCCAGATAATTCGTATGCACATTAAAGTTTGAGAAGCACCTAGCTGGAGAATGATTGAAGTATACAGTAAAATCTAAAGAAAAGGACTGATAGGGTGAAAATTGAGGGGTTATGCAACCGGTAGTCTCAATGAATGAAGACTATCTTTAATCATTTGGGTAGTCTCTGAATTCAATGTAGGTATATTTTTGTCTTTTGTGACTGTTAATTTTTCCATTTTACAAGAGGCAAAATATTTTCAATGATTTTTTTGAACAAAGTAACACTTGTATATAATACATGTCAAGGTCCATATGCAGAGACCAGACCAATTATAAATTAGTAAGTAGAATCTTGACAGTGGGATGTTATAAAAATCATGACTCCAATTTGTATGGAACTTTTCATAATCATTATCTTATTTAGCCTTTATAATCCTATGAGTTGGTAGAATTAGATAGTTTATGCTAATTATACATGTAAAGTAGAGCTACCAGATTCATTAAACCCTCCCATGTCATTTTGAAAATACATTTTTTTAGTGATTTAGAAATTGAAGTTATGAATGCCTCTGTGTTTTCACAAATGAATACTTTGAATAACTTAATTTCATTTTAACTTTTATAAAGTGTTGCTTTGCAAAGAGACTGCACTTCATATTGGACGTGCACATAACGCCACATTTCATTCAGAGGCATAGATATTGGTGAATAGACTGGGGAGAATTAGCCCTTCATTTTGCCTAGAAATTTTCAATATAAACTCTTAAAAAAAAAAACTGCTGTATACGCATAATTGTGTGTACATATACCTTTGTTTATAGGGAAAAAAACCTGAAAAGATACATATGTTCAAATGTTAAAAGTGGTTATCTATGGAAGTGATGGTAAGTATATATTTCCCTCAGTTTTCTAACTTTACTGCGATGAACATGGATTTCTCTTTAAATTATTTTTAAAAGTGTAAATATATATAAACTTTACTGTCATAAAATTTTGATAATGTCTTAAATTATCTCCTGAGCTAAATTCTTTACCATTCCTTAGCACCATAACTAGACATACATACTCGATCTCAATTCCACAATGAGTCAAGACAAATTCAACAGTCATTAGGTGATGAAGGTCTCATTCAGATGAAGTAAATAATCTTTTCCTTCAATGCCAGTAAATAACCTATTTTATATAGACATATTATTTTTCAGAGGGTACTTAGCTAACTGTAGCTTGCTATAATTGTGCCCACTAATGATTAAAATCTCTGATAATTATTATGGTAAGGCTATAAGGACTTGCATCTCTGCAGTAAAATCTTTTATCAACACAACTTAAAATGTATGGTAAATTTATTCTGTGGTACTAAATAAACCAAGGATTATGGGTTTTGAGAATTACAATGAATTCTACAGTTCTTACTAGAATTAGAGCTAGTAAGAGAGTTTAAAATATTAATATAATAGTCATTAAAATTAAATTTTGTGAATATTCAGGTTTTTAGAATGTTTTTTACTCAATCTTCTGTTATCTTTTTTGTACCTAAATCAAACCACAAATAGTGGTTACTATTAATTTTAATAATAAATATGTTTAATCAAAGTACTTTGAAAATAAAAACTCTTATTATTCCTTAATGTTACTCTAATCTGTACAGGTCAATAAAGTACATTTTATAAATATGTATCTTCCCAGGAATTAAACTATGTCCTGTTTGCACCCCCAGGAAGAGACTAGTTTACTCTTCTCATCAGTTAGGACAGGCCAGTTGTCTTAATTAATTTGCCAAGACATACTATGAAATTAGTAAGTGCCAATTATCCCCTTTCTATAAAAGACTGAGGGACAGAAAGCGTTAGGCAGTTTGCCAGTAGACAAGTAGTAAACTTCATGGAAGAGCTCAAGTATTCTCTAGGCCTGGGGAATTGACAATTTTTCTAGTTACTCTAGGAATCATTGGCATCATTTTGTTGTTATTACCCTGTCATATATAGACATGACAGAAATTCTGGGAAAAGTACATCCTCATAACTTTTTTTTTCTTTTTTTTTTTTTGCTGCATTTGGTCTTCGTTGCTGTGCGTGGGCTTTCTCTAGTTGCAGCAAGCGGGGGCTGTGTTGCAGTGTGCGGGCTTCTCATTGTGGTGGCTTCTCTTATTGCGGAGTATGGGCTCTAGGCACGCAGGCTCAGTAGTTGTGGCACACGAACTCTAGACCGCAGGCTCAGTAGTTGTGGCGCACAGGCTTAGTTGCTCCGCGGCATGTGGGATCTTCCCGGACCAGGGCTCGAACCCGTGTCCCCTGCACTGGCAGGTGGATTCTTAACCACTGCGCCACCAGGAAAGTCCATCCTCATAACTTTTTAGCTCTATTTATCTGTCGGTTTCATTTACTTTTTTTTTAATAACCAAAATAGTTTATATTATAACTTAAAATTCTTTCATATAAAAAATAGCAATCTTTAACTAATGCTTTCTACTCTCCTAGGAAAAGGACATTAAAAATGCTGCACATTAAGACATTAATTGCATTCTTTATATTTAATTTCCACATTTCACATTTGCTACCTGTAATTTCACCAAGATCTATTTCACCTGGCCTTTATAAACTATTTCACTTTGAAATGATTATATAATCATTCATTTACTTTTTAATATTCTTTCTAACAGATATTTTCCTGTCTTGCTCAGCAAAGTTCAGTTTAAGGATAAACTATATAAATGA